CTCAGTCCTGGGTCTACAGCCTCAGTCCTAGGTCCCAATGAAACTCCAGAATTGTACCCCCCGCCTCACCCTCTCCCTCCCCTCTCGCCCCAATCTCCCTCCCCTCTCATAAATCCATGTACTACACACATATGCTCAGTGATGTCACACGGACCACCCCCCACTGTGCTGCAAAGGTCCACGTCACAACAGAACACTCAGGTCTCTCTGAGCAGGAGGATCTGGAGGGATACCTGCTGAGAGGGGGAGGGAGGGGGAGAAGAGAGAGAGCTGGGAGGAGGTGAAGAGAGAGAGAGGAGGTGGAGAAAGGAGAGAGAGAGAGACCAGAAAGAGACCAAAGAGAGACCAGAGAGAGACAAGAGAGAGACTAGAGAGAGAGTAAACAGAGACCAGAGAGACCAGAGAGAGACCAGAGAGAGACCAGAGAGAGACCAGAGAGAGACTAGAGAGAGACTAGAGAGACCAGAGAGAGACTAGAGAGAGACCAGAGAGAGACTAGAGAGAGACCAGAGAGAGCAGAGAGAGACCAGAGAGAGACCAGTGAGAGACCAGAGAGAGACCAGTGAGAGACCAGTGAGAGCGGGTAAAGAGAGAGAGAAGGTGTGAGAGAGGTTGCTTCCTGCGGTGGGAGGAGCAGGGTTTCTCTGTAATTAGATGTCACTTTGGATTTATGCAACGCAACAAAATGCAAACAACGATTAATCCACGGCCGGGGATTTGTCTGGAGCTTGTTTCACACGGAACACCATGAAAAGAACAAAAACGTTAAATTACTCACAAGGAAACAGGTAAAAGAGAGAGAGGGACAGAGAGAGCAGGGAGAGGGAGAGAGGAAGAGAGAGAGGCCAGAGAGAGACCAGGGAGAGAAGGAGAGAGAGAGAGCAGGGAGAGAGGAAGAGAGGAGGCCTCTCTATCTAGTTTCTATCTCCCGTCTCTCTCTCTCTCTCTCCAGTCTCTCTCTCTCTGGTCTCTCTCAGGTCTCTCTCTCTCTCTCTCGTCTCTCTCTCTCGTCTCTCTCTCCAGTCTCCCTCTCTGGACTCTTTCTGGTCTCTCTCTCTGGTCTCTCTCTCTGGTCTCTCTCTCTCTGGTCTCTCTCTCTGGTCTCTCCTGGTCTTTATCTCTGGTCTCTCTCTGGTCTGTCTCTCTGGTCTCTCTCTGGGCTCTCACTCTGGGCTCTCTCTCTGGCCTCTCTCTCTGGTCTCTCTCTCTGGTCTCTCTCTCAAGTGTCTCTTGTGTCTAATAACTCTAACCCTGTGTTTACTCGTTCGTAGCCTCCTCTTCATGCTTTGAGCTGTTTGCACGTTCTCTCTGTGACCCGCGGTTATCGAGCGGCCAGGCGGGGGCCGGTGCAGGGGGGGGGGGGGGGGGGTTCTGTAGGTATTAGCGATGTCAGAGAGAGAGAAGCACAGTTCTTCCAGCTCCGGACGTGGATCAATTCATCTGTCAACACAATTAAAGCTGTAAAAATGCACAACTGAGAGACCAGCGAGAGACCAGAGAGAGACCAGAGAGAGACAAGAGAGAGACCAGAGAGAGACAAGAGAGAGACCAGAGAGAGACCAGAGAGAGACCAGAGAGAGACAAGAGAGAGACCAGAGAGAGACAAGAGAGAGACACAAGAGAGAGACCAGAGGGAGACAAGAGAGAGACACAAGAGCGAGACAAGAGGGAGACAAGAGAGAGACAAGAGAGAGACAAGAGAGACCAGAGAGAGACAAGAGAGAGACAAGAGAGAGAGACAAGAGAGAGAGACAAGAGAGAGAGACAAGAGAGGGAGACAAGAGAGAGAGACAAGAGAGAGAGACAAGAGAGAGACACAAGAGAGAGACCAGAGGGAGACAAGAGAGAGACACAAGAGCGAGACAAGAGGGAGACAAGAGAGAGACAAGAGAGAGACAAGAGAGACCAGAGAGAGACAAGAGAGAGACAAGAGAGAGAGACAAGAGAGAGAGACAAGAGAGAGAGACAAGAGAGAGACAAGAGAGGGAGACAAGAGAGAGACAAGAGAGAGACAAGAGAGAGACAAGAGAGAGAGACAAGAGAGAGACAAGAGAGGGAGACAAGAGAGAGAGACAAGAGAGAGAGACAAGAGAGAGAGACAAGAGAGAGACAAGAGAGAGACAAGAGAGAGACAAGAGAGAGACAAGAGAGGGAGACAAGAGAGAGACAAGAGAGAGACAAGAGAGAGACAAGAGAGGGAGACAAGAGAGAGAGACAAGAGAGAGACAAGAGAGGGAGACAAGAGAGAGAGACAAGAGAGAGAGACAAGAGAGAGAGACAAGAGAGAGAGACAAGAGAGAGACAAGAGAGGGAGACAAGAGAGAGAGACAAGAGAGAGAGACAAGAGAGAGACAAGAGAGAGACAAGAGAGAGACAAGAGAGAGACAAGAGAGAGACAAGAGAGAGACAAGAGAGAGACAAGAGCGAGACAAGAGGGAGACAAGAGAGAGAGACAAGAGAGAGACAAGAGAGAGACAAGAGAGAGACAAGAGAGAGAGACAAGAGAGAGAGACAAGAGAGAGAGACAAGAGAGGGAGACAAGAGAGAGAGACAAGAGAGAGAGACAAGAGAGAGACAAGAGAGGGAGACAAGAGAGAGACAAGAGAGAGACAAGAGAGAGACAAGAGAGAGAGACAAGAGAGAGACAAGAGAGGGAGACAAGAGAGAGAGACAAGAGAGAGAGACAAGAGAGAGACAAGAGAGAGAGACAAGAGAGAGACAAGAGAGAGACAAGAGAGGGAGACAAGAGAGAGACAAGAGAGAGACAAGAGAGGGAGACAAGAGAGAGACAAGAGAGAGACAAGAGAGAGACAAGAGAGGGAGACAAGAGAGAGAGACAAGAGAGAGACAAGAGAGGGAGACAAGAGAGAGAGACAAGAGAGAGAGACAAGAGAGAGAGAGACAAGAGAGAGACAAGAGAGGGAGACAAGAGAGAGAGACAAGAGAGAGAGACAAGAGAGAGACAAGAGAGAGACAAGAGAGAGACAAGAGAGAGACAAGAGAGAGACAAGAGAGGGAGACAAGAGAGAGACAAGAGAGAGACAAGAGAGAGACAAGAGAGGGAGACAAGAGAGAGACAAGAGAGAGACAAGAGAGGGAGACAAGAGAGAGAGACAAGAGAGAGAGACAAGAGAGAGACAAGAGAGAGACAAGAGAGAGACAAGAGAGAGAGACAAGAGAGAGACAAGAGAGAGAACAAGAGAGGGAGACGAGAGAGACAAGAGAGAGACAAGAGAGGGAGACAAGAGAGAGACAAGAGAGGGAGACAAGAGAGAGAGACCAGAGAGAGACAAGAGAGAGACAAGAGAGAGACAAGAGAGAGAGACAAGAGAGAGAGACAAGAGAGAGACAAGAGAGGGAGACAAGAGAGAGAGACAAGAGAGAGAGACAAGAGAGAGACAAGAGAGAGACAAGAGAGAGAGACAAGAGAGAGACAAGAGAGAGACAAGAGAGAGAGACAAGAGAGAGAGACAAGAGAGAGACAAGAGAGGGAGACAAGAGAGAGAGACAAGAGAGAGAGACAAGAGAGAGACAAGAGAGAGACAAGAGAGAGACAAGAGAGAGACAAGAGAGGGAGACAAGAGAGAGACAAGAGAGAGACAAGAGAGGGAGACAAGAGAGATACAAGAGAGAGACAAGAGAGGGAGACAAGAGAGAGAGACAAGAGAGAGAGACAAGAGAGAGACAAGAGAGAGACAAGAGAGAGACAAGAGAGAGAGACAAGAGAGAGACAAGAGAGGGAGACAAGAGAGAGACAAGAGAGAGACAAGAGAGGGAGACAAGAGAGAGACAAGAGAGGGAGACAAGAGAGAGAGACCAGAGAGACAAGAGAGAGAGACAAGAGAGAGACAAGAGAGGGAGACAAGAGAGAGACAAGAGAGAGACAAGAGAGAGAGACAAGAGAGAGACAAGAGAGGGAGACAAGAGAGACAAGAGAGAGACAAGAGAGAGACAAGAGAGGGAGACAAGAGAGACAAGAGAGAGACAAGAGAGAGACAAGAGAGAGACCAGAGGGAGACCAGAGAGAGAGACTAGAGAGAGACACCAGAGAGGGACCAGAGACCTCTCTCTGCTCTGTCTCTGCTCTCTCATTTTCCCTAAACACAGTTTATAGTAAGTCTTCCGTGGACAGTATTCTTCATGAAAATATAGAATAATAAATAATAATAATTGTGAATAATGTGACAGTAAATAACACGGCCCATCGTCACAGTCTGCCACAGATCTCACTGCTTAGCGCTGACGCAGAACTTTCACTCAAACAGATGAAATGAAGGTGGACACGTGTTTTCTTCCTCCTCTGAATAAACCAGTGGCGAAAGTGTTCGGCCTGATTCATAATTGAAGCTTTTTGACGCCTGGACGCGGCTCTTCACACCGAGGCGGGCGCCATGCGACAAAAGCTGCTGTTTTTAGTCACATTTTTACTGATTTTTGTGCAGGTGTCGGACATTTTAGAGATATTTGAGCTGAAAGCTTTGGATCACACTGTGCTGGACTAAGACTAAGAGTATCCTAGCAACCAGCTCGGTCTGGATAGAACCAGGACCAGGAGGGACTGAAAACAGTACTGGTTAATTTGGTCACTGAAAGCTCTCTCAATCAGGGGAGAGTAGAGTAAACCAGAGACAACACAGAGAGACCAGAGAGAGAGACCCGAGAGAGAGAACAGAGAGAGAGAGCAAAGAAAGAGACCAGAGAGAGAGACAAAAGAGAGACCAGAGAGAGAGACCAGAGGGAGAGACCAGAGAGAGAGACCAGAGAGAGAGACCAGAGAGAGAGAACAGAGAGAGAGAGCAAAGAAAGAGACCAGAGAGAGAGACAAAAGAGAGACCACAGAGAGAGACCAGAGGGAGAGACCAGAGAGAGAGACCAGAGAGAGAGACCAGAGGGAGAGACCAGAGAGAGACCAGAGAAAGACCAGAGCGAGAGAGAACAGAGACAGAGACCAAAGAAAGACCAGAGAGACAGAGTCCAGAGATTGTGGAACTTGCAAAAAAGTTCTACAATGGTCCACTTTTCAAAGAAAGGAGGAGAGTGTTTGGGGAGTTTGGGAGCAGCAGGGTCAGACCGAGCTCCTTTAATCACCTTCATCACATTCATTATTGATGCTCTGCTCTGAGGCCACTTAACCTCGAGGAGTCCGGGCCTCTCACCTCCTCAAAAGTCATCAACTAGAATTAATATTATGGAGAAAAGTATCATACTTAGACTGTGGACCTAGGACTGAGGCTGTAGATCCAGGACTGAGGCTGTAGACCCAGGACTGAGGCTGTAGACCCAGGACTGAGGCTGTAGACCCAGGACTGAGGCTGTAGACCCAGGACTGAGGCTGTAGACCCAGGACTGAGGCTGTAGACCCAGGACTGAGGCTGTAGATCCAGGACTGAGGCTGTAGATCCGGTCTCTCTCTGGTCTCCCTCTGGTCTTTCTATGGTCTCTCTCTGGTCTCCCTCTGGTCTTTCTCTGGTCTCTACCTTGTCTCTCCCTGGTCTCTCTCTGGTCTCTCTCTGGTCTCTCTCTGGTCTCTCTCTGGTCTCTCCCTGGTCTCTCTCTGGTCTCTCCCTGGTCTCTCTCTGGTCTCTCCCTGGTCTCTCCCTGGTCTCTCTCTGGTCTCTCCCTGGTCTCTCTCTGGTCTCTCCCTGGTCTCTCTCTGGTCTCTCCCTGGTCTCTCTCTGGTCTTTCTCTGGTCTCTCCCTGGTCTCTCCCTGGTCTCTCCCTGGTCTCTCTCTGGTCTCTCCCTGGTCTCTCTCTGGTCTCTCCCTGGTCTCTCTCTGGTCTCTCCCTGGCCTCTCTCTGGTCTCTCCCTGGTCTCTCTCTGGTCTTTCTCTGGTTCAGAGCAGGTGCTGACGGGTGTTCGTTCCAGCCGTTGCCATGGTGATGGATCTCGGCTCACAGAGGCAGGAGGCGCTCGGTCGATTCTCCTCTTTGCTTCTGTTGACTTCATTAACCTGCTTTAGTTTTGCTTGTTTGAAGAAGATCACCTCCTCACATGGAACCCATCGAGGCAGGACCAGAACGAGTCCAAAGGCTTTGGCCATAGACTGTATACAAATGCTAATGCTAACACACGCTATGTACAGCGGGACAATGCAATAGGGGAAGTACTCATTGTGAAGTTTGGCACAAATGCTCTCTAGCTCCTTTTGCCTTACATGGGGAAATGTAACTCTGGTCTCTCTCTCTTTCTCTCTGGTCTCTCTCTGGTCTCTCTCTCTTTCTCTCTGGTCTCTCTCTCTTTCTCTCTGGTCTCTCTCTCTGGTCTCTCTCTGGTCTCTCTATGGTGTTTCTCTGGTCTCTCTCTGGTCCCTCTCTGGTCTCTCTCTGGTCTCTCTCTGGTCTCTCTCTAGTGTCTCTCTGGTCCCTCTCTGGTCTCTCTCTGGTCCCTCTCTGGTCTCTCTCTGGTCTCTCTCTGGTCTCTCTCTGGTCTCTCTTTGGTCTCTCTCTGGTCTCTCTCTGGTCTCTCTCTGGTCTCTCTCTGGCCTCTCTCTGGTCTCTCTCTGGTCTCTCTCTTATGTTTCTCTGGTCTCTCTCTCTGGCCTCTCTCTGGTCTCTCTCTGGTCTCTCTCTGGTCTCTCTCTGGTGTTTCTCTGGTCTCTCTCTGGTCCCTCTCTGGTCTCTCTCTGGTCTCTCTCTGGTCTCTCTCTAGTGTCTCTCTGGTCCCTCTCTGGTCTCTCTCTGGTCCCTCTCTGGTCTCTCTCTGGTCTCTCTCTGGTCTCTCTCTGGTCTCTCTCTGGTCTCTCTCTGGTCTCTCTCTGGTCTCTCTCTGGTCTCTCTCTGGTCTCTCTCTGGCCTCTCTCTGGCCTCTCTCTGGCCTCTCTCTGGTCTCTCTCTGGCCTCTCTCTGGTCTCTCTCTGGCCTCTCTCTGGTCTCTCTCTGGCCTCTCTCTGGTCTCTCTGGTCTCTCTCTGTCCTCTCTCTGGTCTCTCTCTGGTCTCTCTCTGATGTTTCTCTGGTCTCTCTCTGGTCTCTCTCTGGTCTCTCTCTGGTCTCTCTCCCTGGTCTCTCTCTGGTCTCTCTCTGGTCTCTCTCTGGCCTCTCTCTGGTCTCTCTCTGGTCTCTCTCTGGCCTCTCTCTGGTCTCTCTCTGGTCTCTCTCTGGTCTCTCTCTGGTCTCTCTCTGGCCTCTCTCTGGTCTCTCTCTGGCCTCTCTCTGGTCTCTCTCTCTGGTCTCTCTCTCTGGTCTCTCTCTGGTCTCTCTCTGGAGTAAACTTCACTAGCTGGATAATCATTTGTTTTTCATCATTTTGGGCTTATAATATCTTTGATTCATCGCTGTTTTTGATCCTAGTGTTTACGTGACATTGTTTTTGTAAATCAAGAAATCAAACACCAAAGAAACAAACAACAAAGAAACACCAGCTTTTCTCAGCAACATGTCTACCCCTGAAGCTTAGAGGGTTCTTCTAGTCAGACAAAAGTGTAAAGAAGCTAGTACTGCTTGATTAACTGCAGTACTAGCTTCAATTCACTCATTAGGAGAACCTTCCAAGCCTTAAAGGAGCTATACCTGTTTCTGCAGGTTTCTCTCAGTTCCAATGTGTAGCTCCGCCCCCGACTCGCTCACAGTCTTCTCATTTCCCCTACGCTCTCCTCCCACGGAGCCCTCTAGTTTTATTTGTGATCTATATGCTAACATTAGCATTAGCACAAAATAAGCTGTACAACAATCACTGATGAAATGGTACAAAAGCAACGCACTGCTAACACAACATATAACTGAAAGATTACTGCTAGTTTCACGTCCAAATGTGGTCCAAGCGTAGATAGTCTGAGCGTAGATAGTCCAAGCGTAGATAGTCCGAGTGTAGTCCGAGCGTAGATAGTCCGAGCGTAGATAGTCCAAGTGTAGATAGTCCGAGCGTAGATAGTCCGAGCGTAGATAGTCCAAGTGTAGATAGTCTGAGCGTAGATAGTCCGAGCGTAGATAGTCCGAGCGTAGATAGTCCGAGCGTAGATAGTCCGAGCGTAGATAGTCCGAGCGTAGATAGTCCAAGCGTAGATAGTCCGAGCGTAGATAGTCCGAGCGTAGATAGTCTGAGCGTAGATAGTCCGAGCGTAGATAGTCCAAGCGTAGAGAGTCCGAGCGTAGATAGTCCGAGCGTAGATAGTCCGAGCGTAGATAGTCCAAGTGTAGATAGTCTGAGTGTAGATAGTCCAAGCGTAGATAGTCCGAGCGTAGATAGTCCGAGCGTAGATAGTCCGAGTGTAGTCCGAGCGTAGATAGTCCGAGCGTAGATAGTCCAAGTGTAGATAGTCTGAGTGTAGATAGTCTGAGCGTAGATAGTCCGAGCGTAGATAGTCCAAGTGTAGATAGTCCGAGCGTAGATAGTCCGAGCGTAGATAGTCCAAGTGTAGATAGTCTGAGCGTAGATAGTCCGAGCGTAGATAGTCCGAGCGTAGATAGTCCGAGCGTAGATAGTCCGAGCGTAGATAGTCCAAGCGTAGAGAGTCCGAGCGTAGATAGTCCGAGCGTAGATAGTCCGAGCGTAGATAGTCCAAGTGTAGATAGTCTGAGTGTAGATAGTCCAAGCGTAGATAGTCCGAGCGTAGATAGTCCGAGCGTAGATAGTCCGAGTGTAGTCCGAGCGTAGATAGTCCGAGCGTAGATAGTCCAAGTGTAGATAGTCTGAGTGTAGATAGTCTGAGCGTAGATAGTCCGAGCGTAGATAGTCCGAGCGTAGATAGTCCAAGCGTAGAGAGTCCGAGCGTAGATAGTCCGAGCGTAGTCCGAGTGTAGATAGTCCAAGCGTAGAGAGTCCGAGCGTAGATAGTCCAAGCGTAGAGAGTCCGAGCGTAGATAGTCCGAGCGTAGTCCGAGTGTAGATAGTCCGAGCGTAGTCCGAGCGTAGATAGTCCGAGCGTAGATAGTCCGAGTGTGTGTCCTCCATTAAAGACTGGCTGGCCACTAACTACTTACAGTTAAATTCCAACAAAACTGAAACGCTCATCTTTGCTCCAGACCATAAGATCCCGCTGATCAAACAGCACCTTGGCTCTCTTGGCTCCTCCGTCAAATCCAGCCTCAGAAACCTAGGGGTTGTGTTTGACCAGGCCATGTCTATGGAGACACACTCCAAACAGCTCGTCCATAACTGCTTTTATCACCTTAGGAACATTGCAAAAATCCGCAATATGTTGTCAAAGAATGATCTGGAAATGATCATTCACGCTTTTATTTCAACAAGACTTGACTATTGCAACTCTGTTTTTACCTGCTTGAATAAGTCTGCACTCAATCAACTTCAAATTGTTCAAAATTCTGCTGCTAGACTTTTAACAGGTGCCCCTCGTAGGTCCCATATCACTCCTGTTCTGTCTGTTCTTCATTGGCTCCCAGTCAAATTCAGGATTGATTTTAAGATCTTAGTGCTGACCTTCAGAGCCTTAAATGGTCAGGCCCCCCAGTACATCCTGAACCTTTTGAGCCTGTACTCCTCTGGCCGTTCTCTCCGGTCCTCTGGCCAGAACCTGCTTGTGGTCCCCAAAACCCATTATAAGACT